GAGCGGTTACAAGCTTGAAGAGACACCACCGTGAGAGTCCACCTGGCCCAGTATCTGGGGCGGAAATAATGTGACACAAGGCAGAAACAGGGGTGTAAACCGCAGAGGGCTCCTGGGGGAGGGGGTAGCAAACAAGCCAGGGCAGGATCACAGCATAGGCACAGCAGGGCCATGGCAGGGGTGGGCAAAGGGCAACCAGGACCCCAGCCTCCTCTTGGCAGAACTCTGTTTCTCTCGAGGATAAAAAAGGAAACTTGCAGAAATGCTCTGAGCAGACCTGAGTCTGCAGAGAGCCTGAAATAGCAGAGCATGGGCTGCCCCGTTCCTCTAACTCTGAATCCAGGCACCAGGCAGGGAAGGTGGGGGCTGAGGCAGGGGGTCCCCAGTGCAGGATGCCTCTAGACTGAGCCGTGGCTCTCAACCATTTGAGGCACCCCTTGGAAAACGCCAGCTCTTCATTTTCCCTGTATTTTTTTTGACTACGGAAAAATAACAGAGGAAGTCTTCTGTTGCAAAGCGCTCAGAAAGAGCGCAACGGGGGAGAACGGTTGTGACGCTACAGATTTCTACTGGGTTTGTCTTGTGAATCGTATCTGCACACTGAACTGTGCTAACCTAGCATGGCACCCTTGACAGGACCTCAGCATCTGCATGGCTTGGCTCCGCGAGCTGGGGGAGGAAACACCCGGGAGGGTGTCTGGCAGGTCTGGCGTGGGATTCAGAAAGGAGGGATCAGGCTAAAAACCTTCCCCGGGAGATCCACCAGCCTGTGGGATCATCTTCCACGTGGCCTGGTCCGACCGCTATCACAGGGCGCACCCGAGAACCTGTGCTGCAAGGACTGCCCTGGGTGGGGGGACCAGATGGTTTTGCAGGCCTGGCCCATCTCCAATTGCTGTGATGAATCACCCGGCGCTGCTGATGGTAGGAGCGGCTTCCCGGGGGCAAGGGGCTCAGCGAGCTGCTGAGGCTGTCAGCCGTGGTAGCCCCTTATTCTTACGTGGATTACCCCTGCCGCTGGACTCCTAACTGCGATCCCACTCCCTTGGTGCAGGGCATGGACTGGACCTAGTTAGAAGCCGTTCCTGTGCATCAAGAGCTCAAACTCTCAATTAGCAGAGCAGGGGAGGCGGAGGGAAGGGAAATGATTCACCGAGCACCCGGCAAATGTGGTTGAGCCAGGCTTAAAGCAGCAGTACCCTGAGAGGGGCTGAAACCACATTACCAGACTACTAGAGCCCTGGCAAGAGGCAGCATCAAATCCAAATCCAGAGCCAAGCGTGTATTTGGAGGTAGCAGGACCCCCCTGAAGCACAGGAGCCACAGGCAGGCTCTCCCCTGAGATAACACAGGGCGTGCGGAGAGCTCAGCTGCCCCAGAGAAGAGCCAAAGCCATGCAGAGACCAGCAAGCGTGTGCACCTCTGCCAGCAGACTCTTTGGGGTCCTGGGTTTCATGCCAGGCCCAAGAGGGACAGCAAGCTAAGCAGCGCGGCAGGTAGTGGCGAAGGAGGGAGGAACAGGAGGCGGCGGCGGAGGAAGGGAAATAGTGAGGCCGCATCCTCTGCCTCCTGGGCAGAGGAAATGGGAAATCCAGGAATGCACCGCCCCTGCCAATTCTTGGGAGTACACTCCCTCTCCGCCCTTCCCCACGCCCAGCTGGGCTGGAGAGCAGAGGAAGTCCCCAGCTGCCAGCTGAAAAGCCACCGCTGATCCACTGCGCTTCCAGGAGCAGCCCTTGCACTGCTTGTTTGCACCCCCTGGGCCTGAGTAGTGGAGGTCTGACCCAATAGCCCCATTATTTCGGATCGAGTCCAGGTGCTGGCCCAGGACAGCGTGGGGAGCAGGACCCCACCATCTCCAAAGCAGGTGGAAAGGCAGGTCCGATGCCTTGGGCTCCTATTCAAGCTGGAGCCGGCCCCCATCCCTATCAAATGCAGAGGCTGCATCTGCTCCCCGCAGCCCGGCACCCTGAAGAGCTCTGCTCCACGTGCCCGGTTCTGCAAGCTCCCACAGGCGTGAGCCCACCGGTGGGATTTGTTCCGGTGAGCAAGCCCTCGCAGCATCTCCTAGTCTTCCAGTCCCGGGACAGCGCTGCCGAAGCCAAAGCCCGACAGGCAGCCCACCTCCCTGCTTCCAGCTGAACTGAAGGGTGCGATGGCCTTGACCCTTCTCTCCACAGAAGCATGGCTCGGCCATGCCAAGAAAGCCCAGCTAGCCCATGCTCTGCGAGCTCTAGCACCAGGCCTGGGGCAAGCAGCAAGAGAGCTCCGGACTGGGCCCAGACAGCAGCTGCCTGCGAGATGCCTTCTGCTGCCGCTGAGCAGCCTCGCTCCATTTTGGGGATGGATGATGCATTTTTTCCACTAACTCATGTTCATGCCTCTTTATTTAAAGGCACAACATCAGTTCTGACAAGAGAAAGTTCACGGTCGGTCTCTGCCACACAAACCCCACCCCAAGCCTGGGCTTCGACGGCACCCCCCTCCCGCCAGGGAGAAGCCAATGCAGAGCGGGACGGAGAGGAAGCTGCTGCAGTTGGATGCTATTTTTAACGGGTGTGGCATCGTCTGCAGGCAGTTTATGAGCCGGATCTTCACTCCCCCTGCTCCCCCTCTGTGGCAGAGCCAGCTGCACCTGGACCGTGTTTGAACAGCAGGTGGGCAGGTCTGAAAGCAGCTCCCCGCGTCCCCTCAAGTAAGTGACTGGTTTTTCATGCTCGTCTCAGGGCCAGGGTTGCAATAGAGGCTGCTTAGAAAGAAATGTATGTAGATGCCCCACCCTGGCTGGGCACTGAACCAACTTCTGGAGCGAGGATCTTCCCGAGCATGGAGGGTTCCTGTTTGCTATGGACCTGATTTGTGCATGGTTTGCTGCCAGGCCTGGGCTCCTGGAAGGGGCTGGTTTATGTGCATCAGTTCTCTGCCCCCACAAGTACTGCCCTGCTGAAAACTAAGCAAGGCAAACTTTATGGCAAGGGGGAGGATGGTCTGACTCATCCCCACGTTGCTGCAGCAGTGTGTTAGCGTGGCTCTTCTGAGGAATGAGTTATGCTTGTGAAACAGCACGGCAGAGAATCCAGCCCCGGGCTGCCAGCATTCGGGTTTTAGTGCTTTGACAGCGTTTGTGGAATAGCGTTGCTTGGGGCTGGGAATAATTGAGAATAGCGGGCAGAGCTCTGTGCTCCCTCCGTCCCAGTTGTGCTGCGGCCCTGGGTGGAGCTGCGCAGGGATCAGGATCAGCTCAACCTTCCCAATCGTCAAATCCCCCCTGAAAGGCCCATACACATCTGGAAGGCTGAGCTGATCCAGACAGCTTTTAACCCCCCACCTCCAGCTCCTGCGCTACGCCCGTGTTACAAGCCCAATAGCCGGAGCAGCCCTGCCAGAGGCTGGGCTTTCTCACAAGCGGATGCTACGAGCAGGGGTCCCTTGTTAATAAAGTGGCAGCTGCATACAGACACTGCGCACCCATAGCAATGGGTGTAAGAAGATCTCAGCCCCATTTCTCAGTGCTGGCATTGTCACACGTAGCCACATGCGGGACAACCGAGCCGGACTGCGCTTGGATGGACGCTGCAGGTTCCAGCTAACAGAGTCCGGTCAGGCAGCGGCATGACCTAGACCCCCGTGTAGACACTGCTGTGCTGGCAGAAATGTCATTTGGCAGAATCGACTGTTTCAGAGGACTGGCAAAATTGCAGTTTGGCCCATACGAAGTACTCTGCTGCTGTGGCTACCAATATAGCAAGACTTAAACTGCCCAAGAAAGCACCATGCTCCCTGCATCTATTCCAACACAAGGGAGCTTTTAACCCACAGAGCACCAATCCTTTCATCATCATGGGATCCTGTTGACTGGGGATCCTTCACCCAGCCTAAAACTGCCCTATGAAGCCAGCCGGCCTGCTGTTACTATCAGAGAAGCAAGATTGATTTGGCGATATCTATTACTGGGCCAACTACAGAGTTGAGAGAGATGCCAAAAAAGCTTCCAGGCAAAACACACCTTTCCCCAGCTCCAGGGGAAAATTCAGACACGACCTACACTTGACACTGGGGGAAACAAAAATAATTGCTTTAAATGTCCTTTTCTATTTAAACACTTGTCTAGCACCTTTCCCAACTATGTAGTTGGTCTGATGAAAAGATATCATTACAAAAATATTCTTATATATGCCCTGGACTAGCACAGCTACAAGAGCACTACAACAGCTCTTGTCTGCTGTTACTATCATCAGATAGCATACCACTTGGCCCTGCGGGTCTCCAAACATTCATTAGGCCCCGGGTAGGCACGCAGAAGTAATGCGATTTGCCCCAAGTTGTATAGCAAGGTTATAGCAGAGCTGAATAATAAAGCTGGGAGAGCTGGGATCGAGGCTTTACTCTGCCACAGACTGTCTGAGGGACCTTAGGCAGATCACTTAGCTTCTCTGGGCTTGACACCCTATTCCTACAGCGGTGATAATAGCATTGCCCTACCTCCCAGGGCTGTTGTAAGGACATATATGTGAAAGAATACAGGGTGTTCAGTTAACAAGGCCACAGATGCACACAAATTCCTAACAGCCTTGCCAAAATCATCTGAATGTCAGTGTGGTCCCACCAGCTCCTTACCTTGTCGGGCCGACCAGAAGGCACCAGACTCCTGCTAACGAACTGGTGTTCCTGGGGTAGCACCAGTTTAGCAAGTGCTGCTCGGGGCAGGGGTGACTGGTTCCTCCTGAGCCTGGGGTGGGGGGATGCTGCAGACTGGAAGCGGCCACCGGCCAGAACACAGGTAAAAATGCCCCCGGATGAAGGGTGGGTGGACCTAAACCTCAACCGCGGCTGCCGTGGGCCCTGCAGGAGGAGCTGCGGCCTCTCCACCAGGCTCTGCGGGGTCGTGGTTTGCCATCCTGAGCGATGCTGAGTCGGGGGCCAATCTCAGGGGGGGCACATGCCCCCCCCCCATAACCTCCCCTACCAGTCGCCTGTGGCTCAGGGCTCTGGTCACACACCCTCAGCATCATCCAGCCTCACAGAAGGGAGCAGCTCCTCTCTCTACACACACCCCTTCTCTGTCCAGAGAGCTAGGGAAAGGAGTGGGAGTGAATGGGAAAGGTTAGGTTCAGCTCCCAGAGCCCAGGGCTGCTCCATTCCTAGCAACCATGCGATCCCTGGCTATGTCTGATGTCAGGATGGCTCGAGCCCGGCCCCAGCCCACTAGTCAGGCCTCCATCCACCTCTTTGCATGCCCAAATCAAGCTGGTTAAGGGGTCAGGGCAGCTACCAAAGACAGAGGGACGTGTGCCAGGTCTCTCTTGCTGCCCCTTGAAAGCTGGCAGATGTAAGGCAATGTCATTTTGTCTGTGGTGCGTTGTTCTCTGCAGATAGCGCGAGGCGAGACGACCCACCTCCCCTTGAAAGCTCTGCTGGAGGGGAGACGACGAGATGGCCGCCCTCATCGCTGAGAACTTCCGCTTCTTCTCGCTCTTCTTCAAGAGCAAAGATGTGATGATCTTCAATGGCCTGGTGGCTCTGGGGACGGTGGGCAGTCAGGAGATCTTCTCAGTGGTTGCCTTCCACTGCCCCTGCTCCCCAGCCAGGAACTACATCTATGGACTGGCTGCCATCGGCGTCCCGGCCTTGGCCCTCTTCCTCATCGGCATCATCTTGAACAACCACATGTGGAACCTGGTGGCCGAGTGCCACAAACGGGGCACCAAGAACTTTTCCAGCCCGGCCACCTTCCTGCTCTTCGGCTCCATCCTGGGGCGGGCGGCGGTGGCCCCCATCACCTGGTCTGTCATCTCATTGCTCCGTGGAGAAGCCTACATCTGTGCCCTGAGTGAATTTGTGGCTCCAACGTCTTTGGACAAGTTTCCAGCTGAGTACGGAGCAGAAACCCTGGCCGTGTTCCCTTGTAAAGAGGTGCTGACGAACCTGACTCACTTTAAAGAAGAAGTGATCAGAAGATTAAGATACGAGTCTCAGGTACCGATTTGTTTGCCTGTATAAAGTGGGGAGGGAGCATGGCCTCGAGGATGAAGGAAGCAGGGCTCCTGGGGTCTTTTTCTGGCTCGGGATGGAAATGTTGTCTCTCAGTTAGTAAGCAACAGTAAGATTTCTTGGTCCATTAGTAGCTCAGAAGCTCGTGCATGACCCTAAGCAAGTCATTACCCTTCTCTGTGCCTCATCGTCCTCCCCTTTGCAAAGGGAAGGCTGGTTCAGCCACCGTCTCTTAATAACGTCACTGAAGCACCGGGCTGGGAAGCCAAGCGAGGCAGAAGTCCCCAAGAAGCCGGTTCTGTTCAGAGCCCAGTTCCCAAGCCTGCACGGCTCTCCGGTTCAGCTGCCTGGAGCAGTCTCTTTCCAAGGTGCAAGTTGTCTAGTCAGTGTGAGGCCAGTCTCTGCTGCCAAAACCCTGCCTAGGTTTTGCATTTGCCATCAGGTTGTCCCTGCCACGGGGAAGCCATGCTTTGTGAGGCGCTACAGAAAGGTGGCAGGTCTTAGGTGAGCGAGAAGCATATGTTATCAAGACAGAGGAATGCGTTTTCCTAACCGACACCACATGAGCCGATTGAGCAGCTTTGTTATTCTGCAGCACCACGTTGGATCCAGGCTAGACACAGACCCTCACTTCACTCACCAGTACTCCCGTCCAGTAAGGTACAGGTGGGATTTCATAGATGCTAGGGTCGCAAGGGACCCATGAGATCATCGAGTCCGACCTGCCCTGGGCCGGAAAGAGGGCTGGGGTCAGATGACCCCAGCCAGGTGTTTGTCCAGGTGTTTAGGAGTATCCATGATTTGGAGTAGGAGGGGGCTTCAGATGGGGGATGTGGGGAGAAAAACACTGGCCAAGCTGCAAGGGGGTTCCAGGTCGGTGGGAGCAGATGAGGCCTCCAGTCAGGACAAAGGCGCACCAGAAGTGGAGAAGGAAGCGTTTCCAGTCAGGATTGAAGTGCATGGGTAGACCATGGGTGAGGATCTCTGTTTTCAAAGCAGTACAAGCCAGGGCTATTAATGCTTCACATCCACCAGTCCTATATTCAGGACATAAGAAAGCCCAAGTCTTAGGGTCCTCTAAAACAAAATCCCAGTATATACTGGTGCAAACCCTGGGGCAGTCTCCAAGATCAGAGTCCGGAGTTGGATGCATTTGATCAGAGACCGGTTCTAATGCAGCCGCTCTGTCTCTTCCCCCAGCTCTTTGGATGGCTGCTCATTGGTGTTGTTGCGGTCCTGATTTTCCTCTCCAAGTGCTTGAAACACTGCTGCTCGCCGCTGAGCTACCGGCAGGAAGACTACTGGGCCCAGTACCGCTCCAACGAGGCCAAGCTCTTCCACCGCACCGCTGAAGTCCACTCCAAGATCCTGGCTGCCGGTAATGTCAAGCAGTTCTTCGGCTTCGTGGCTCTGAACAAGGAGGAGAAGGAGCTGGTGGAGGAGTTCCCAGTGGAGGGGGTCCAGCCGAGCCCGCAGTGGAACGCTATCACGGGGGTCTACATCTACCGGGAAAACAAGGGCTTCCCACTCTACAGCCGGCTCCATAAATGGGCCAAAGGGGTCGAGGGAAATGGACCAGGGCCTGATGGCCAGGAAATGGCCTTCCTAGCCGTCTAAGCAAGCCAGCTGCCCATGGGAGGAGGGACCAGTTCCCCATGCTCTGTCACTTTATACTCAAAACAATATAACCAACTCAGGTGCACGGTGACCAGATACGCTGTGAATGATCCTCCAGATAGGATTATTCTTCTTAGACCACAGCAAGCCACAGGGCATCAACAGCTTCTGGATAAAGACCAGCTGCACCGTGCTGTGCTGGGGAACCAGACCCTACCTCTCTGGGATATGACTGTCACCGCTGCTCCCACAAAGTGGAGCATAACGCAGACGCATGCACCTTACCTACCGCCTAGCAAGGCAGCACAGGCAGAAACCTTGGGTCCTGCACATGCAAGGATAAATTGAGCACAAGGCAGCACAGGCAGAAACCTTGGGTCCTACACATGCAAGGATAAACTGAGGAGCAAATAACTCAGCATGGCTGAGGTCCCCGTTTCCCACCTGTAAATGCTGCAGCCTCTTGGCATTCCTTCATTTCAGAGGGGGTGGAAAAAAAAAAATCATGCCTTCATCTTGCAGGTCTACTGTGCCTTTCCTGCAGAAGCACCCACAGCACTTCAGAGACTAGCAGAGTGGGAGGGAGCGATTCACCTGGCTGGGGTGGAACTCAGCTAGTCCAGCAATGCACAGAAATACTCCAGAGTCCAATATTGCAGAGGGGTATTTAGTGAAGCAGAAGGTAGTTATCCTACTGGAGTTTAGGTAGGACAGCGAACACCCTGCGTCTTTCCCAAAGTGCCAGGGACTTTTTAAACATGCCAGTTTTAATTTTGGTTTTGTGGGCCTGGCAGGCGCTAGCAGCAGAACAGCATCCTCCAACACCATGCCAGGCTCAGAGGAAAGAGCACCCACTGTACAGTCATCCCCTGCAGCACACTGAATTTCTTATCCTAGCACTAGCCAGGTCCACCCCTGCCATAGCCTAAGTTACAGAATACTCCTTATACTTAACTGTACCAGTTAAATAGCTTTCTCCAACTGGACAGGGACCAAAAACCAGGCAGCAAAAAGACTGCACGCCGATTTGCTGTACATAGAAATGAAGAGTTTGCACTGGCTAATATCAGTGGCGAGCAGCAACTTCACCCTTCTTTAATTGTGCTTCTCAGACTCTTTCTATTGCCTTAAATGACTCCTGGACTAGCCCCACTATAGCCTTATGAACCAAGCATCACCGAGAAAGAGATGCAGGTGGAGTTTACATTTCCTCCTCTCGACATGCCATTGTGTCAACCACTTGCTTTTCCAGCGTTGCAGTTAAACAGTTTTTAATTGCATGTTGAATGACATGTGCACAATTGTTTCTATGTTAAGGATCAGTGGCATACTGGAGATTGCTTTTCTTATTTATAGTGCTCCTTTTTCTATACTTATTTGTGGTCTTATTTTTATAAGCTTTGACCATGCCTCTCCCAATACTGCCAACTTGAAGTGCTCAAAAATCACAAGCTGGGCACTTGGATCTGATAGGAAAAAAATAATTAAATTGAAAGAAAAAATGAAATGGTTTCTCTCGTGGTTTCTAGGCCTTTTGAGGGCACTTAGGTTCAGTTTTCAAACTGCTCTGTGAACAAGAGAGCTGGAAGCTTAAATGTTGCCTTTGTAGGAAAGTCTCAGTGCCTGCCGTGCCCACGGGATGCCAGGACTGGAAATTTAAAAACACCCGATTCCTGGGAGAACCGACAACGCTGCTTGAAGAGCCCACGTATGACCCTGGCACCAGAGGCAGCCCTGAAAACCCCGAGGTGGCCGAGGGGAGAAAGCATCTGACGGCTGTCGGGAAGGAAGCAGCAGCATGAGCAGGGGAAGGACGCAAAGTGGGCTGGTCCCATTGTGTAACGTATGCAGAAGCAACGAATAAATCATAGCAGAGTAAAAGCCCGAGGAAACAAGAGCATAGGCGAGTGCTTTGGGCTTCTTGTCAAAGGGAGGGAACCAAACAGCGTGGAGCAGATTCCTCTCAGGGGGCACAAACCTCCCCCAACCTGCTGCCACGTAAGGCCAAAGCAGAGCTCCAGCCCCGTTGACAGGTGGTTTCCCCCCAGGTGCTGGGGGGTGCTGGCTGTGGGCACACACGTATTTCCTGAACAGAAAGGGGAGCCTCTTGCCAGAAAAAGCAGCAGCCCTGGCTCTTCCTTATTAGCTACAGCCCAGAGACAAAAAGCCAGGGGTAGAAGTAGAAAGGCAGGATGTTAAAATCCCCTGCCACTGCCACACGCCCAGCCTGGTCGCCCCAAGGTAATGTAGGGGACCTGCGAGCGGAGCCGCTTGTCCTTCATTGACTGTCCAATTCCTCCCGCAGGGACCTGCTCCAGTCCTCGGCCAAGCTGAAAACCCAACGACTTGATGAAAAAGCAGGAAAATGCAGTCCTGCACGTCCAGCCCTTGTGCCCCACCTCAGAAGCCAGCATTGGAGTATGTTTGGCAAAACCACATCTACGAAGTAAAACGGGTCTGGGGGTTAAATCGGAGACCTGGGAGGCCAATTGGGGGCCTGCCCTGAGCCCTCTCTGACTTAAATGAATTGCCCAAAGTTGCAAAGCAAGTTCTGCACGGCTCCTCCACAAAACAGGGTCAGTCCTTCCCACCACAAAGCTCGAGACCTTCATTCCAAAAAGCTCAAGACTCAGCCTGCACCTATTTATTGTTCCTCCCACATTTATGATGGTACCTTCACTGTATTTAAAATCTGTTGTCTCCATTTCAGGGATGAAGCACAGAAACGGCAAGTGGTTTAATAGTTTCCCAGGGCCCGGCAGAGTAAGCCTTCACTAGGGCATTTAATTTATTTTCTAGCTCCTCCACTTGAGGGTACAGAGAGTGTATGCAGCTCTTCTACAGGGTCCACATCTCAAGAATTTAAAACCCTGAAAATGAGATTAGATTGAGGATAATGATGGGCTGCAATTCACACCCACCAGATGAGTCAGGCATTCAAACAATAGGGAGTAAGAGCGGGAGCACTGCAAAAAGATTCAAGTGCAAGATGCAGGGAACAACAAGGAATTCATTGTGGTTTTGCAATGGAGCAGAGAGCCAAGAATTGATGCAGACTGAGGTTGTTATTCAGACAGACACGCTCCTTAAACCTGGTAAGGAAAAGTAAATAAAAAGAGACATGACAGGCATTTCCTCTGCTTCTAGGTCTGAAAGGAACAAACAAAAAATTTGCCTGAGAGCCCACAAATTAATCCCACTTGGTTTAAAACTAATTGGAAACTCCAAACCTCATTTATTTATTTACTTGTTTTTAACAAAAAGTTAGTCACAAAACTTTTGTGGTCTTCCTTTATAAAATTCTGGAGGGCCCCAAACTCATCATATTGATCCCTGCTGGCTGAAAGGCCACTGAACTCGTCCATAAAAAAGTTCCCAACCTGGGATTAGGATTTAGCACAAACATCCTCTGATTCTTGGTGTGCAAGTTTGCATGTATGAAGTCATATATGCAAGGATTGACCATCAGACTCTACCTACAATCAGAGAACCTGATACAAGCTATTCTCCAACAAGTGGGAGGTCTTCAGTCTGATGTAGGACAAGGTAGAAACCTTTAAACACTAGAGGGGTAATGAAATTCTTATATAAATGAAACGGATGAAGAGACAGGATGAAAGATTAATGGACATGGAGATTTTGCTTCTAGGTGATTTGGGAAAACACTTAGAAGGGCATGACTGAGTTTTGGTCCCTGCTCCAAAAAAAAAAACATTCATGTAGTGCACTTCCCTCCTCCAGCCACATTTTGCAAGGAAGGGGCAACACCACTGGAATCTGCGAGCAGCCCAATTTGTCAGCTAAGAATACCTGCTGGAGCAAGCCTCCCAGAGGAAAGAGATGGAGAACGGTTTATTTTTGGATTCCAACTGGGCTTAGGCCGTGAGACGGCTGCCGACGTGCTCGGCTAAGACGGGACAGTTTGGGGCACATATAGGAATAGACCTGTTGGTACTTAGGGAAACAGTCTGAAACAGAAAATATTAAAGCAGAACCAATTATTTTCCAGCATCTAAGACTTAGCTTCTTCTCTCAGTTGAGAGACCTCTATCC